CCTATTATTGTATTACTTACTTACTTACGCATGTTACTCCTAATGGAGGAGCATAGGACACCGACGAGCATTCTACAACCTACTCTGTTCTCTACCTTACTTTCTACTTCTATCCAATCGTTGTTCATTCTTCTCATATCTCTTTCCATTTCTCAGTGTATTGTATTCTTTGGTCTTCTTCTTCTCCTTTGATCTTGAGGATTCCAAGTGAGGACTTGGTTTATGACACAATTGGGTGCTTTCCTCAATGTGTGTCCTATACACTTCCAGTAGTTCTCCATGATTTCTTCCTCCACCGCAATCTAGTTTATTCTCTCCCATAGTAGACTATTATTATATGAGTATAGTATATTACAGAAAAAGAGGAAAAAAAAAAGAAAACTAATTTTCTTCCTCTCATTAATATCAAAACTAATATAAAGATGGATGTCTGTTTTGGTACGTTTTTAGTCTGACGCCGTAGAATTTTTTTTCACTCTATTTAGACGTTCCATCATTTATTTTTTCTAGTAATCTTAGCCTAACTACTCATTCCTATTGTTATTGATGTATTTGTTTAACATAATATATCTACATGTTACCTAGTCTACTACTTAGTCTGATATTGAGTTTTCTTTTTGTTGAAGATTTATCATCATTATTCTAACTGTGGTAGGTTAAATATATGTAAAACTATTCAATAGAAGATAGTTAGGAATCATATGGATTGATTATTGAGTATTATTAGTACTATTTATGACTGTGAAACGTAAATATTAAGAGTAGAAGATACTCATGAGCTACTGGTATTTGATCACAGATGTCTTAGAAATATTTCTGACATCTGCTAGGATCACTGGGTAAGTATTAGTGAGGTTAAGCGTAAGGTATTAGGGAATAATGGTGAATCACTTGATGAAGTTGTAAATTCTCATCGATTAAGATGGTTGAGCAACCTATTATGTATGCCTGAACACCGTTTAACACGACGTACAATCCTGACTAGTGTTGGAAACGGATGGAAGAAAGCTAGGGGCGGCCAAACAAAAAACGTCGCATTAATCCTTGAAGTCACTAACTTCTAGTCTGAGTCATGTTGGTTGAGGTCAGTGTGGCTATCGTAACCAATAGTTGGAGACTATGGGTGATATGACTCAGAATCGATCAGAATGGTGACGGTGAATACACTCTTTGTCTTCCTTTAAACTATGAGATTAAAATCGCTTTATATCTTTCTTTCTACGAACAAATTCTTTCTTCCTGTACTATGTCCTTGCATGCAACCATTCTTTTATATATGACCATCAATGAATTAACTTCTATAAATTCTGTATCCATCTTATTGTTCTAATGAGGTATGGCAACTTGGACCGATGCACAAATATGTCTGGTCCTACGTTGTAGCTGACTGACTGGTCCTGACGGAATTCTGCCTTTCAGTTCAATAGTTATCATTTAAGATTAAAACGTAGTCACAAAATTAATAATCAATACCCTTAATATATATATCTCACAGAAACCTAGGATTAAACAACTTCAGGAGATACTTTAAGCTATCAGTATTTCTAATACATTAGTAGGAGTTGTGCATCTTATTCTATTTGAGACTTTTCAGTTAAATATACCGAAATATCAATGTTAATGTTCACAGTGTGACTCAAACCTATCAACTTTCATTTCAAACACAAGGGGATTATCCACTTAGTTACTATGTCCAGATAGTCGCTAGCTGGTTATAACAATAAAAATGCATTAACATGAATAAACAGCACGTACGCAATCGGATACGAAGACGGAAATTTGGTGTCTATAAATTGGGTTTTATCAATTGTAAGGGGGGGCGGGCGTAAGGTAAAGTCTTCCCATCGAGTTATGATTTGTATTAAGAAACATTGCTAACTACGTAAATAAAACTATTCAACAATGAGGAAAGACAAAGAACTGAATGATTTAAATTCACTTGGTGTTGTTTGCTTGAATCTTTCGATTGATGTTTAGGATTGCAATTGATCAATCTCTCTCTTATTGGCATATGTGCATACTGTACATATTTCCTCGATATTGTATTAATTCACAAGCGATCTTAGTATAGATGGATAGTGGTTAGCAGTGGAATCCAGGACGCGCATTTCGTCCTTGCTGAGACTCGTCAGCTGGATGTACCTGAATCTCAAACTCGACGGGGTTTGAAACAAACGGTACTGGGTTCAAGTCCTAAAGTGGATATCAAACGTGAGATTCAGGTACATCCAGCTGACGAATCTTAAATGGGACAAAAATGCGCATCCTGGGTTCTACTGCCAGCCACTAACTGGTCAGTTTGACCATTCTATTCAGGAGAGCCACATTCCACTCGAATAAATAGTATCCCATCAACTGATTATTTGATGCAGGCCAAATCTTCTAGTAGTATTATGAATTCACTTGAGATTCCTCAAAAGTGAGAACACCAGTTGTAGAGATAGTAAATTGATAATGATTAGTAAAATTCCTAAAGCATGCAGAAAGCAAGCACATAGGGAAGCGAGTGTTTGTGAGTGTAAAACATCCACATATATTCATGAGTGTTAATAGATTGTGGATAAGTTATTGATTGTCTCTGTTTAAAACCACGCGAGACCCAAGGACCTGGGTTCAAATCCCCCGTGTGACGTCGTTGATGCGCACTGAGTAGTCTTATATTAGGATGAAACGGCCATCCAGTGCTTCCAGATTTTCTATGGTGGCCTAACATTGATTGATTCATGGTCGTAATCAAGAATACATAGAGATTGATATGTAGACATTCGTTTGATCAAACTCGCATATAATCTTACACAGTGGATCAAATGGTTAAATTACAGCAAGTACACGAATAATAAAACAGTTCATAGGGCTTCCTGAGGCACATCTAGTAGGAAAAGCGTGACCAGATTTAGTTGTTTTAAGTAAACAATCGGTCTGCTTTTTCAATTGTTTAACCTCATGTTCATTTGGTGAGCAAAAATACGACTTATTCTGTTAAGAGTCTTTGATAATTCCTTTAAAAAGTCTTTATGATCCAGAAAAATGTTGAAGGTGATTCTTCTAATCAGAGTTTTTATAAGGTTATAAGAGAAATCTAGGCCTCAACATACACAAAGGAAAGAGCAAGATCCTCAAATACAATACAGAGAACCTCAACCCGATCACACTTGACGGAGAAACGATGGATGATGTGGGATATCTCACGCACGTGGGCAGCATCATCGATGAACAAGGAGGATCTGATGCAGACGTAAAGGCAAGGATTGGTAATGCAAGAACAGCATTCCTACAGTTGAAGAACATATGGAACTCAGAACAAATGTCAACCAATATTAAAGTCAGAATCTTTAATACGAACGTCAAGATAGTTCTACTGTATGGAACTGAAACTTGGAGAACTACTACAACCATCGTCAAGAAGGTATAAGCATTTATAAACAATTCTCTACTCAAGATACTCAATATCAGCAACAGTCTTCTGTTGGGGAGAACAAACCAGATTCTAGACGAAGAGGATATTAGGAAAAGACGTTGGAAATGGATAAGCCAAACATTGCGGAGATTATCGAATCGCATCACTAGGCAAGCGCTTACCTGGAATCCTAAAGGGAAACAGAATAGAGCAAAATCAACAAACACACCGCATCGGGAATCAGAAGCAGATATGAAAAGAATGAATAGCAAATAGAAACAACTAGAGATAATTGCCGAGGACAAAAGTGAATAGAGAATACTGGTAGGCAACTTATGCTCCTCCATGAGAGGTAACAGGTGTAAGTAAGTTATAAGAGATATCAAGAAGACAACTGATTTTACTTTGCTAATCTTGATTGAACCAATAACAACGTTATTCCTTATTTTAACACCTTTATCAGAATCTCCTAGGAGCGTAGAGTGTTATGATCACTTCCTTCTGTTCTCTGTTTGGAGTTCATGAGTAATCAACCTCTTGAAAGTAGAAGGTGATTAGTAAGTAGATATTAAGTCGTTCACATATAAGATGCGTTATATTCTTTGATAAAATGACTCATTATTATTTTACCGCTTGTAATAACCGCCAAAACTGAATTTGATGATATATTGAGTCAGTCAGTCAGAGGGAGGTCGATAATGAATACAGTAGTCTTGAGTGCTGTTAGAGGTATGAGGGCCGTTATCACTTCCCGATTGCCCACACCGTGGAAGCGTTCTCCTGGAGGTACCTGAAAAGGAAATTGGATTAGAGGTACTTGTTGAGACCTTACCGCCGGAGACGCATATCCGTGGGATAAGGAGAGGTGTGCATTTTCAGGGTCGACCTTTTCTAACCACAACCCTCCTTGTGGGAAGGCAGCATCGCTGCCATGCTGGTTGTCTGAAGGAAACACCTTACTGCTGTCACACCTCTGTACAGTCAACAGTACGACTTCGCCTTCGGACCTTGGTTTTGTTGCTTTTAGTCTTACCGCTCTTCAACCGACCTGTCTGGCATGGTAGGACCTTGAGGAACGGTTGTTCCAGCCAGTATAGCTCAGTTGCTTCATCACGATAGGCAAGCCCGACCACCACGTCAAGGTAGCAACAACGGTCAGGATGATATATTGAACTAATCAGAAATTGGCTTAAATAATAAACGTACAGGATTGGATAAGAAATAACTTTCATTTCTAAGGGATATGCCATACATCATCGATGGCCTAGTTTTCTATGAACTATATAAGTACATATTGGTTCAGTTTAGTCAATAAACTTTCCACTTAAGTAGACGGTAGGATTCATATATAGAAAGATTACGTATAAGTATACGACAATACATCGAATAGTTAGGAAATGAGATTTACACGACATTAGGACGAAGACAGTCGCATAATATCATGAATTGAGGAAAATTTGTGATGTATACCAATGTACACTGGCTCAGTAATCTAGTATTTAAGCATTTATGTACGATACCATAAGTCATGGTTTAGATTCCCTGTATGATACTGTTCCATATGCGTTTTGCTTAGTAGTTCTATACTAGAACGAAGTAAACATTCAATGTTATTTATATTAACTCTTTGTTATCATTACCAAGTTACAGTATCCTGATAGTGTTGACAATGATGAAGATTATGTGATGTTATAAAGTTATGATACAATTGCTTTAGCTGGTTTCCATAATGTTTTCTTTAGAAATGAATAATCCATTGAATTATTTCTTGAATTCTCATTAGATAATGATGGTGTAAATAAACCACTTATGTTTTTAGAATAATCTTTTTGTTTATTGTTTGTAAGTAGATCAGACCAACAAAGAGGTTGTAATTTCTTGTCAAGTGATGAAGTAGATTTTGGAATATTATATGGTGATCTTGAAGACTTGAGTTGATATGAAGTTTTCTGTTGTTTATTGTTTATAGATCTGAATAGAAATAAGGAGAAAACATAGTGTAGATGATCATTCTGTTGGTTAGAACACATTATCAATGAAGGGTTTGATATGGATTTCGACTCATATTAGTGTATGATCTGAATAGATTGTACTAGGATGAAATGGTCGGCCAGTGATTCCAAGTTTTCAACAGATGGTCTAGTTTAAATCGATTCATGAATTCAACTGTCTAACTATTAACTATCTTTGAATGCAGTCTTTTATATTTCACTGATAAATACTTCTTTGGTATTCAACTATCAATGAATAGAATTGATCAACCAAATGCTAAGTTTATTTACTGTGATGACAATCCACAGGTGAACTCGAGGAAGTCCTAAGAAGCTCAGAAAGAGCTAATGATATTCCATCCAATCATCTTGTGGAAGAATATTCCAGAATCAAGAAGTATAACTTCTCTATTGGAAAAATGCTAATAGCCCCCTGTATGCAGATTGAAAGACTATAAAATCTATATATACCTGATAGTTTTGTACCTTTATTGACCCTGTTTGGAATAACATTCCTTCCACTTGTCTTCCATCTTCTCATTTGCCACTTGAGAGTGTTCTAGCATAGAGTGTTTAAGTTATACGTGGTTTAGTAAGAATCTAAGCTTTAGATATAACATTAACTCAAATCAGAGTTATAATCTTACAACTAAGAGTTCGTGAATCTAACCGATTATGTTTATCCTAGTAGATGTGTAAATAGATACTTATTGAAGATATAGATTAATATCAGTATAGGGTTGTGAAGATTGTTGAGTATAAACTGATATCATGAATGGATCAATGTTAGATCACCATTGAAAACCTATAAGCAGTAGATGGCGGTTTCGTCCTAGTATAAGATTCCTCAACAATGTACATCCACGATCACGTATGCGAGACTCGAACCTAAAAGCTGAAAACTAAATGATTTGACCACAAACTTATTCCTTCATTGAACGTTATTTTAACTGATTTTATTAATTTAATGACTTACTGATATTTTATTTCAGTTTTATTTGGAGACTTGATTGATTGATTTGCATGCCAAAATGATAAATGTTCAAATGATTTAGTTGACTTCTTTGTCATAGTTTCATTATTACGTAATTTGGATACTTTCTTGATGGAATCTTGTATTTTAGAGTAATCTGGAAAGTAACTGTATATATTTTTTTGTGAAAATAAAGTTGATTAGAAGGGGTTTTGTAGAGATTTTTAGAAATTACATTAGTTCAAATCATGAGTCAATTGAAGCTAGACCATCATGGAAAACCTTGAAGAACTGGACGGCCGTTTTGTACTGGTATGGGACTCCTCAGTAGTGCGCACCCAAGGATCCGCCACCTCGCTTGTTTCGAACTTAGGACCTATCAGTATCGCGAGCGAGAGCTTAATCATTAGACCACTGAGCCGGCATTCAACGATGTTAATGTCTAACTTCAAACAATCCATGAAGTTGCGCCACCGTACACCATTGTCTTCAGTGAGTTAATATCTCATAACAGATCTGGTTGAACTCCAGTGCTTCTAGGTTTTCCATGGTGGTCTAGCTTCAATTGACTCATGATTTCAACTATTGAAAATAAACTTTGTTAATTTGTAATATGTGATGTTTAGTTTGTGTAACATACTATACTACTTATAAGTAACTGATTATTAATTGAGAAAGTTTCCTCACCCATGTTGTTTTTTTGATCATTTAGAATATTCTCTACTGCATGGGATGGAAACTTGGAGAAAAACGAAACTCATCATCCACAAGATACAAGTGTTTATTAACAATTTTCTACGCTAAATACTTCGACCGTTGAACAGACACTATCAACAACAACCTAATGTGGAAGAGAACAAACCAGATCCCAGTGGAGGAAGAAATCACGAAGTGCTGGAAGTGGATAAGACACACATTGAGGAATGCACCCAACTGCATCACAAGGCAAACCCTCACTTGGAATCCTCAAGGTCAAAAGAGAAGTAGAAGACCAAAAGACAAACGATGCCGAGAAATGAAAACAAACATGAGGAGAATGAACAAAAATTGCATAGAACTGGAAAGGAAGGCCTAGGACAGTGGGCGGCCTATGCTCCATTGGGAGTAACAGGCGTAAGTAAGTAATCAGAAAAGGGTTTTGTTGATATTATAGTAATTTATTAGTTGAATACATTTGGCGGCCAATCAACATCGAGGTCTACAGGACAAGCTGTGAACCACATGTGGAGAAATTCGAGCACTTTACTTATACCTGAAGTTCGTGCACGACCAAACTATGCAGCTCAAAGAACAAAACTTAATCAACATTAACGAAATCAATAAAAACAAACCACAAGTAAGAAACGGAAAAACATGAGATTGAATATCATCCACATCTCAGTCGTACGTAATTCAAATAGCGTCCCATAATTTTGTGAAGCTAGATGACGTTAGGTAAGAGCCCACAGGAAACGTGAGTTCCTATAAGATTATAGATTTGCCTTGTTGAAAAGTGCCAACTACCTTGATACTTTGGTGTAGGACTTCTTATTGTTCATCTCCAAACATTTATAATATAAAACTAGATGATTGATTATCATGTTCTCAATCAATCACAATCATTTATATCTACTTCACATTATATTCGTTTGAAAATTAGAAAAATAAGATCGTGGATGCACACTACTGAAGAGTTTCACAATAGGACGAAACGGCCGTCCAGTGCTTTAAATGGTGATCTAACATCAATCGGTTCATGATCTCAATCAATCTCAGCACTTATCCGCGCTCACATATCATCTCAAGGTTGTGATGGGTAGGATATACAAACATGGTACTCTATTACAAGAAATCGATTATACACCTACTCAAGTTCCACGACTACATGTTCCTAAGTTGGAAGAATAAATGTATATACACCAGTGATTTGTAATTCAGTTTATCAGCTAAACTTTGCTACTCATTACATCCTCCTTAGTTGTGTAATCGGTTTGGTGTATTGTTAGAAATGTATGTTGTCATACTAAATCTTATCTATACCCCCAGATAGTCAACATTTCTTCTGGGCATTAAATGTGTTATTTTCTTACAATCAGGTATATTATGACCTTTTTGTTATTATATCATCTGTAACCCTGTTAATTACATTATGTACGCTTCTATATGTGCTTGACTCATGTGTTTCTTGTTCAAACTGTAACTGGTTATTGGTAATTTATACATTATTTACCATACGTAATAACTGGCCCACCCTTGCTTATCATGTTTGCGTAAGATGGTATCTGAATATACGTTTCCAATATAGTTTTATATTTGACATATTCTGTTCCGTTATACATAAACGCGATTGTCTAAGAAAGTATACGAAGTTAACTAAGGAAATATACTTCTTCAGGATAAAGCTAGAGCTCACTGACGGCCTTAAAATAGAATTGGATCGACTAATTACAAGGAAGATAGCAACTGTTGAACTTACATGCGGTTTCTAAAACGGAATTATGGGTAGTCTACTACTAGATATCATTGATCGATTTGGCTTATAGTAGGATTATAATTTGGCGGACAAAAACACCAGTGGGGACAATCGAATTATACAATTTCTTAGTAAAAATCTCAGAACCATACAATAGATACTTCATTTGCAAAATGTCAATCAATCGTTTCAGACTTCATTGTTCCGTCGTTTCGACACTAATCATTCTCTGTTCTCGTTCTCTTCTCTTCGATCTTCCTAACCTTCTACCTCCAGTATTTTCATTTTCAAGTGATGATACATATTACTTATATTTGTCGATATCAGCAGCTTATACCATAGTAGGTCATTCAGAAAATGTTGGACTATAGATGTAAATCACTTAGCTTAATTGTGAATTGAAAGTGGCATACAAGGACTTCAAGGTTGTTTTATGAATTTAAAAGTTGATAGTGTTAGAAAACTAACAATCTAAAACTATACATCCTTTATAATTCACCCCTTGTTTTTATTATTTCGAAATAATCATTTCGTTTATAAAAGGTAAATCATAATTGCCTGATACTTAATTAGTCTATGTCAAAGATCCCTTTTAGACTACTCAAGGTACAAGGAGGCACTAAATACATATGCGCCACACTGAGTTATTCAATTTGTGTGAAAACTGGGATACTGCCCGGGTGCTCAAACCGAAGCAGATGGTTTACTTGGTGGGGCCATATCCGGAGCCTTCGACCTGAACATGTGATCCACAAGGCAGTGAAACATCGTAAGGAGATGCAGTCTATGGTAGCTGGTGACCGACAATTGATTAATACACCATTTGTTTTGTCAGGATCCTCAATTCCAAGTGCATCATTGGTTTGTAATAAGGGTTTTCCAACTCCCCCTGATGAATCTTTCATATCCACCAACCCGGTTAAGCGCCGTACACTCACTTTTCGTCCTTTATCGTGATCAACACCCCAGTGGAGAGACGATAGTGAGTAGGTGTTCCGTGACAGTAGCTGTATGCATGTGACCATGTGAGAGCATTTCAAGATGGTGATCACATTTGATTGATCACTGAGTGGTGATCGAATGCTATCAATTATTATTATTAGTGGCTTTATTCAATATTATATTTTTGGTACAATATAGAATTCTCAGCACAAAGTATTTCAACAAGTTTCCTTTTCTTATTTCTTGATCAGTTCCTTGCGATAAATATTGAGTGGTCGCCAGTTAGATGCTAGTGGTTCAAGAATCGACATCTGATCAATGTATATCCTTTTCGATGCATATTGCCAGTAACCATGATGTCTCTCATTGAGCTCTTTTGTAACATGTACAGCGAAATATCGTAAACTTTTCACAAACGCACCTGAATATAGGTTATGAGACTAATAGGCATAATGTGATGTGTTAAAACAAACAAGAAAACAGATGACTTGCTGAAATATCCAGATGGTAGGAAAACAGGTGGCCCAGATAATCGAGTAGGCCGCCGACGATCTGACTCTTTCCACCCTCGGCCATATCAAGACATTTGGATGTTATTTCACTCAAATGCATCAATATAGTTCAATTCTATACATAACAATTCTTCAGAACAGTATATCATGAACATACTTTTCTAATGGTTGAATATCATTATCAATGAATGTTTGATTTTGTTTCTTTTTTAATATAGGATAGAATGACATTAGTTGATCAACTTGTTGAGAGTTCAGTTTTGAGTTCGAATCCAACTGAGATTTTGTATCCGTTTGATGATTTAATAATGAAGATGAGAAATTATTACTTTCAATTGATTTAATTGCATCTTTTAAATTTTGTTGAAATGAGATCATACGAAATTGATCTTGATTTCTATTTGCCCATGATACAGATAAATTCATTTTACGTAATTGTTTTTCAATAGATGGGGATTTTAATTGTTTCATTACATTATTTAATGAATTAGATGGATTTTCACGAATGAAATCACATAAAGGTGGCTAGAGAAGAAACAAAAACAAAAAAAAATAGAACAAAAAAAAAAACAATAGATTGATTGAGGTTATGAGGATGGTTATCAGTTCCCAGTTTGCCTACACTGTGACAAGGCTATTCTGGAGATATTTGAAGAGAAAATTGGATTAAAGGTGGTCTTAGTGACCTGAGAGAGTGAACGCAGTGCCTAAGGGACAAGTGTGTGAGGTCAGTCACACACACACACACACACGACCTTTTTGTGGGTAATTTTCGTGTTACCTCCGTATTTGTTGAAATCTTACCTCAGGAGATGGATATCCGTGGGATGAGGCGAGGTGTGCATATTTATGGTTGACCTTTTCTAAGCCTACTCCTCCTTGTGGGGAGGCAGCATCTCTGTCATGCTGTTGTCTGAAGGAAACACCTTACTGCCATCACACCTCTGTACAGTCAGCAGTAGGACTTGGGTCTTACCGCTCTTCAACCAAGCTGTCTGGTATGGTAGGACCTTGAAGGACGATTATTCCAGCCAGTATAGCTCGATGGGTTCATCACGATAGGTAAGCTCGACCACCACGTTAAGGTAGCAACAACGATCGAGTGAGTTGGATGCCGGCCGACTCGGTGGGATCATGGATGCACACTGCTGGGGAGTGCAATACTAGGATGAAACGGCCGTCCAGTACTTGCAGTTTTACGATGGTGGTCTAGCTTCAATCGACTCATGAATTCATCTATTAAATTAAAACAATAGCTTTCCTATACCAAAGACTCATCAAGTGCTTATCAGTGACTTACTGAGAGCGATAATTCCCTATACTCTAGACAAAAGCCATGATCAGTAGAGTTCAGTCATGCCAAATATGAGATAAATCTCACTAATGATATAGATGAGCACTCAGGCAGTATCACATTCCGCACACAAATCAAGTGACTTCTATGGTACATATGTATTCAACGCTCCTTTGTACTAATATTTATGTCTAGTGGTTAGGCGCTCGCGAGCGAGACTGATAGGTCCTGGATTCGAAACTCGACGGCAGCGAGATCGTGAATGCACAGTGCTGATGAGTCCCACAATAGGACGAAATGGCCGTTCAGTGCTTCCAAGTTTTCCATGGTGATCTAGCTTTAATTGACTCATGATTTCAACTATTGAAATTACTAAAATCTCCACAAAACCCCTTTTCATGATTTATCATTAATACCAATATTTATGAACAAACTCTTTAGGCAATAAACTTGAACTATGATGATTCATTATAAAACTAATTGAAGTCTGTGTGTTAACTTGTCTTTTCTTATTCTGACGACAAACTTAACTGGTCTGAAGCTGTTAATATCTATATATAACTACTTTCATAATCCATACTATCTACATTGGGTTGTTAATTCATGTTCGATCAGCAATTGAAGTAAGAAACCTTCAGGGTGAAATAGTACAATTTACAAAGTAGAAAGTAGAAATGAACCAGGTATGAGTTACTTCCTAATCAGATTATTAGTAGAGACGAGCCAATCAGAATCGAGAATATAAATTTTGTGTTTTTGCGCCAAATCTAAATATCATCCATGATAAACAATAGAGTTACTTTTGTATAATACCCAAAAATGCCGTAAAATAGTTGCAAAAAGTTAAATTAATCTTGTTTAAAACGTTGACTCGATAGGTAGCTAAGTCCAACTATGAGAATTTCAGTGTGTGTGTGTGTGTTCGAGTGATAGCTGAAATACTCTTGAGTAAAGAAAGAAAAAAATTATTCCTACCTGGTACTGTAGTGAACAAGAAGACAAGTGTGGACAACCGAATGTGTCTGAATACAATATTACACAATCTCATAGTAAAATCTCAGAACCATACAATGAATACTTCATTTACAAAATGTCGGTGAATTGTCTCAGATTTCATTGTTCTTTCGTTTCCACACCAATCATTCTCTGTTCTCATTCTCTTTCCTTCGATCTTCTTAATCGTTAACTCTAGTCATTCCATTTTCTATTGATGATACATACTACTTATATCTGTCGACATCATTAGCACAATTCACACGCGTGCCCCCTTGAAAACAGTTGTTCTTGAGGTGGTTCTGCTCACCGTGCCACTTTCTTCTCTGCAGTTTGTGCGACGCTTTCTTCCAATATGTCGAGTCTTACCTCCATGTCTCCGTCGATCTCCAGGGCCATGAAAATCCGACGTTCACTCATCACCTAGGACGTTCAACAACTGCGCTCCAACGACCTGCTGAGCCATCTGCATTCAATGTCCACCCAGCTTCTTCACGTTTCATCCCTTCTCTCCGTTGATAGCATCCGCCACAACCAACGTTGACATACCAGAACACTCCACTTGACGTAACCTTCCCGCAGCAGACCGTTTCAACTAGCATTTTAGCTTCAGGTCTGCAGTGGCAACCTCAGAACAGCTCTCTTCTCCTTCCTTGTTGGCAGCGACATCAAATGTAGTGAACGAGAACACAAGTGCGAGACGATTGAATGTATTTTGATACACAATTATACAATCACTTAGTAAAATCTCAGAACCATCCAATAGATTCTTGATTTGTAAAACGTGAATCATTTATCTCAGACTTCATTGTTCTTTTGTTTCAACACTAATCATTCTCTTTCCTTCAATCTTCTAAACCTCAATTCTGTAGGCAATACCCCCACTGAGAGAAAACAGTGTGTAGGACTTCCCTGTCAGTGACTGTATACACGTGGCATTTACAGGTACGTATACATTATAGCTCCTATTTACAAGCTAATTAATTCATTAATTTTTTCATCATTTTTTTTAAAATAGCAAATTACTTTTCTACAAGATAAGATCACTAACCTTATATCTAACCCTCCCCCTTTTTTCCGAACTTAGCACTAGCAATTGGGAGGAGCAACCGACAGATTCCAAGCAAATTTCATGATTAGTTCATCTCTCTACAACTTAATACAACAACAACAACAACAAAATAAAAATTAAAAAATCTCTCCCCACCCCCTCATATCTTACCTTTTCTTTTCCTTTTAATACATATTCATATGTAAATGCATTATAGGTCATTTGTTCTTCTTTCGTTAATTGTTTTTCATAATTAATTAATTGTTCATATGATTTATATCTTAATAAATTCCATAAATATTGTGCACTATAATTTGTTCCCATATGATATTTTAATAAATCAATAATATTCATTATATTATTTGTTTTAATAGATGATTGTGAATTTATAGAACATTTTATTGATTTTCTTAATGGTTTTATTGATTTTTTTATTGATTTTCGATGATCCATTGATTGATTGATATTAATATGTTTTAAATTAAATAACCATGATTTTAATTGATAACAAAATGGTATACGTAAACCATGTAACATACCATTTGGATAACCACCAATAAAAAGATTATCATTTATTGAATTATTATTCATTGTTTTAATTTTTATAGATTTTTGAAAATTTGGATATAAAAAATAATTAGCTAAATCTATACCCCAAAGATTTTTAAGGAATAATTTATAATCCTCATTATAATCATCAATGGAGATCTAAGCAAAAGAATAAGTTGATTATTATTAGTAGTAGTAGTAGTATAAGTAGTATTGGTATAATATAGAATTTATATAGGAATAAGTATTTGAACATGATCTTGATGATAATTGGATCAATTGTGAGATAGTAGATTGTTATCAGAAGGGGTTTTGTGGAGATTGTAGTAATTTCAATGATTAAGATCATGAGTCAGTTGAAGCTAGACCACCATGGAAAACCTGGAGGCACTGGACGGCCGTTTCGTCCTATTATGGGACTCCTCAGCAGTGCGCATCCACGACCTCGCTCCCTGCGAGATTCGAACCCAGGACCTACTGGTTTCGCGCGCGAGCACTTAACCACTAGACCACTGAGCCGGCATCCAACGGTGTTAATGTCTAACTTCAACTAATCCACGAAATTGAGCGACACATCCACCATTGTCTTCAGTGAGTTACTATCCCACAACAGACCTGGTTGAACTCCACTGGTCACTACTTCTCACTAGAACTCCAGGATATACCTCTTGAAGCCAGTCACTAGTGAGCATATGTTGATTATTATCAGAAGGGGTTTTGTGGAGATTGTAGTAATTTCAATGATTAAGATCATGAGTCAGTTGAAGCGAGACTGAAGGCCCTGAGTTCGAATCCTGCGAGTGGGATCGTGGATGCGCACTGCTGAGGAGTCCCATAATAGGACGAAACGGCCGTCCAGTGCTTCCAGGTTTTCCATGGTGGTCTAGCTTCAACTGACTCATGATCTTAATCATTGAGATAGTAGATTGGTTAAAGTTAGACATTAACATTATTGGGTATCGGCTGTGTGATCTAAAGGTTAATGATTTGTGGACAAAAGTGATAGATTCTGGGTTTGAATCTCACGGTACGCGATTGTGGATATATATTACTGAAGAATCCCATACTAGGATGAAACGATTGTCTAATGATTCTAGTTTCAATTAACTCATGAATTTTCTGGCAAAAGACAAGCAAGGATCAAGAAACACTAAGAAGCATTTCATCCAATCATCGTTCACTTGAAGTTTTAGCCAGAAACATTAAGGAAGTGAAAATATCACATGTAGAGGTTCTGATTGGCTGATTGTTATACTGCTACTATGTTTAATAGCATTCTAGAATCTTCGAGCAACCCAAGGACATTTAAAATATTATAAAATCCCTATATTTTCTGTATTAAAATGAACCTATGGAGTAAAGTACTTTCGCATACTTTTCGTCTTCTCTCTCTCTCTCTCGTGTTCAGGTCGCAGTATAGTTCTAGCTTGAGGGTTACAAGAATATCTTAGGAACCGAGTATAGTGTTCAAAATTGCAAGACTTATCATTCAGTTATTAAATTACTATAATCTTTACAAAACCCCTGTCTGATTATAATCATTATGTGCTCACTAGTGACTGTCTCCGAGAGGTGTTTTGTGAAGTTATAGTGAGAAGCCGTGACCAGTGGAGTTCAACTGGGTCTATTGTGAGATAGTACTTCATTGAAGACGATGGTGAGTGGTGATGCACTTTCGTGAACTGGTTGAAGTTAGACAATAATACCTCTTGGTGCCCACTCTGTGATCTAGAGGTTAAGTGTTCCCACACGAGATTGGTAGATTCTGGGTTCAAATTTTAAGAGGTAGGAATGTGGATGCGTACTGCTGAGGAGTTCCATCCTAAGACGGAATGGCCATCCAGGGCTTCAAGGTTTGCCATGGTGATTTACTCAATTAGCTCATGAATTCAATAATTAAATTGCTATAATCCTTACAAAACACCTATCTGAATAAAATATTGAATGGTCGCTAGTTGAAAGTTAGCAGTTCAGTCAATCAACATCTACACAGTGCACATTCGCAACCAAGATGACCCTAATTGGGCTTTTCTCTAACTCGTACAACGGAAGGTTGTACACTTTTCCTAAACCCACCTTATTAGGTTATGTGATTAAATAGACACAACGATGTGTTAAAAAACTAAAACAAATGACGTGTTCAAATATCTAAATGCCAGGAACAGGTAGCCCAGATATACAAGCAGGCCGCTAATTGTTGTGTAAAACAAAAGTACAGGTCAACCTTGATCAATCTTGTGACCTTGAGCAACCAATCACAATGTATACATAACCATTAATTGGTCAATTTCTTGGATAATCAAATAGACAGTAATAACTCTAAACAGTCCTTAATGAACTAAATAAATTGGCTCTAAAATCTTAGGATTTCTATTTCATTTCTACAGAATGTTACACAGTAAGTTACTGTTTAATGTATTCATTCTTTCATGAGTCGTACATTATGTAACTGATGGATAGGGAGGATCCACCTACGGGAATCGGAAAACCTTCATTACAAACCAATGATGCACATAGGCTCCAGGATCATGAAGAAATAAACGGTGTATGAATTAATTATTGGTCACCGGCTACACTACCTTGTGGATCACACGTTTAGGTCAAAGGCTCCGGGTATGGCCCTCTAAAAGAACTACCTGTTTTGTTTTGGGCACCCGGACAGTATCCCAGCCCTCATATAAATCAAACGACATTCGTGTGGCACATATCTATTTGGTGCTTCCTTGTACTAATGTTTATGTGTTTAAATAAATAAATATATAATAAATGACTTGTGACATGAAATTAAACAGTTCATTTCATTGATGTTAAAGTTCTAAAATTACAGCATGATTTTAATTCCATAAACGTATTCTTTCTCGAATGATACTATGATTATTTAGTCTTTTCTGCTATTACTGATACTTTTAATACCTCTATTAATTAGGCATTCGTCTTCACAATTTCATTTTCCTATGCAGATATCACTGGGCAACCTGGAATGATACATATAAGTACCAGCTTATATGTTGACTCTTACTGACTGATCAACTGGAAGTTGAAATGATCCCAGTTTCTGTATTTATTAACATAAACTTGAATAGAAACACCGTCTTGACATTATATGCACAATGTTTGAACCCTAAATAATCGAAATTAATAATCATCAAGAAGTCTTATAAATAATAGATCAGTTCCTTGAATACTGTAGAAACACCTTTTTGAAGATTAAAAATATTATGAAACCTTAGTCTATAGCTTCCTGTCAGTTTTTCTCAAACCATCAAATACCAGTCCATTATTTTCGATAATCAGGAAGACACCATAGTACTTTAAGTACCTCGCTGACACATATAACTGACTGACTGATGAGATGACAAAATTAATCACTTGTTGCAATTATTCTACATGTCTAACCCAGAATATTATGTTGCTGAACATATAAAAACTCCGCCTGGAGCCCCTTTCCGGGGGCTACTGCCGGTCCCAAGCCCGGATAAAGGAGGAGGGTTGGGCATGGGGTTAGCGACCCCATCCCGTAGAAAACTAACTCGCTAAAAAAACGCTAACCAGAAAAAATTATTCAAACCATTTAAACTCTGCCCTGGGAGTCAGAAGGTCTTCGTTTAGAAGAATTATGACGCCTCACGATGAAAGCCGAGTTTCTTCGGAAGTCACGAGGCCGATGCCCCTTCTGACAACCAGAGCAACCATTTATTTAGGTACATGGAATGCTCGTACAATGTGGGAGACTGCGAGAGTTTTCCGAATTGCAGCAGAAATGAGGAGATACAACCTAGAGGTGCTTGGGATCAGTGAAACACATTAGACGCAAGTTGGACAACAACGACTAGCTTCAGGGGAGCTGCTGTTATACTCCGTACATGAACAAGAAAATGCTCCACATACACAAGGAGTTGCATTGATGCTGTCCAAACAAGCACAAAATGCACTTATGGGATGGGAATCTCATGGACCAAGGATCATCAAAGCCTCCTTCAAAACAAAGAAAACGGGGATTACAATGAATGTCATCCAATGCTACGCGCCTACCAATGACTACAATGAAGACGCTAAAGATCAATTCTACGATAGGCTGCAGTCAATCGTCGAGAAGTGCCCAACAAAAGACCTGACTATTCTGATGGGAGACCTAAATGCCAAGGTTGGAATTGACAACACCGGATATGAAGAGATCATGGGACGACACGGACTGGGAGAAAGGAACGAAAATGGTGAGAGATTTGCAAATCTATGTGCCTTCAATAAACTGGTCATAGGCGGGACTATATTCCCACATAAACGCATACACAAAACCACATGGACTTCACCGGATCACACCACACAGAACCAAATCGACCATATCTGCATCAACAAAAAGTTCAGGAGGACGATGGAGGACGTGAGAACAAAGAGAGGAGCTGATATAGCATCAGATCATCACTTGCTGGTCGCCAAGATGAAATTGAAACTCAAGAGGCACTGGACAACGGGGAGGACAATATCACAAAAATTTAATACGGCTCTTCTTCGGGATACTGACAAACTCAACAGATTCAAGATAGCCCTCAGCAACAAGTTCCAAGCCTTTTATGATCTACTCAATGGAGAGGGAACTACTATAGAGAGCAACTAGAAAGAGATAAAAGAAGCAATCACTTCAACATGTCATGAGGTTCTGGGCCAAAAGAAGCACCATCACAAGGATTGGATCACGGTCGATACACTGGATAAGATTCAAGAAAGGAGGAACAAGAAAGCAGTAATCAATACCAGTCGAACAAGAACAGAAAAAGTCAAGGCACAGGCTGAATACACAGAAGTAAACAAGCAAGTGAAAAGGAGCATCAGAACTGACAAACGTAAATATGTGGAGGATTTGGCATTGACGGCGGAAAAGGCTGCCAGAGAAGGAAACATGAGACAACTGTATGAAACAACAAAGAAACTCTCTGGAAATCACCGTAAACCAGAACGACCAGTGAAAAGCAAGGAAGGCAATGTAATCACCAACATTGAAGAACAACGAAACAGATGGGTAGAACACTTCAAAGAACTCTTGAATCGACCAGCCCCACTTAACCCACCCAACATCGAAGCAGCACTCACGGACCTCCCAATTGATGTTGGTGCACCAACAATTGAAGAGATCAGCATGGCTATCAGACAAATCAAGAGTGGCAAAGCAGCAGGACTAGACAGCATTCCAGCAGAGGCACTGAAAGCAGACGTAGCGGCAACTGCAAGGATACTTCACATTCTCTTCAGAAAGATCTGGGATGAGGAACAGGTACCAAAAGACTGGAAAGAAGGACTTCTAGTCAAAATACCAAAGAAAGGCGATCTCAGCAACTGTGACAACTACAGGGGAATCACTCTTCTTTCAATACCAGGAAAAGTCTTCAGCAGGGTATTGTTAAACAGGATGAAGGACTCCGTAGACGCCCAACTTCGAGACCAACAGGCAGGATTCCGTAAGGATAGATCGTGCACAGACCAAATCGCAACTCTACGGATCATTGTGGAACAATCAATTGAATGGAATTCATCACTCTATATCAACTTCATCGACTACGAAAAAGCATTTGATAGCGTGGACAGAACAACACTATGGAAGCTTCTTCGACACTACGGCGTGCCTCAGAAGATAGTCAATATCATACAGAATTCCTACGATGGATTAAACTGCAAAATCGTTCATGGAGGACAGTTGACAAAGTCGTTCGAAGTAAAGACTGGTGTCAGGCAAGGTTGCTTACTCTCACCCTTTCTCTTTCTCCTGGTGATCGACTGGATCATGAAGACATCAACATCTGAAGGGAAGCACGGGATACAGTGGACATCTAGGATGCAATTGGATGATCTAGACTTTGCAGATGATCTGGCTCTTCTATCGCATACACAACAACAAATGCAGGAGAAGACAACCAGTGTAGCTGCAGCCTCAGCAGCAATAGGTCTCAATATACACAAAGGGAAAAGCAACATTCTTCGATACAACACAACATGTACCAATCCAATCACAATTGACGGAGAAGCTTTGGAAGATGTGAAAACCTTTACATATTTGGGCAGTATCATCGATGAACACGGTGGATCTGATGCAGATGTGAAGGCACGGATTGGCAAAGCAAGAGCAGCATATCTACAACTGAAGAATATCTGGAACTCAAAACAATTAGCAACCAACACCAAAGTCAGAATTTTCAACACAAATGTGAAGACAGTTCTACTGTATGGGGCGGAAACCTGGAAAACTACGAAATCCATCGTCCAAAAGATACAGGTGTTTATTAACAGTTGTCTACGCAAAATACTTCTGATCCGCTGGCCGGACACTATAAGCAACAACCTACTATGGGAGAGAACAAATCAGATCCCAGTGGAGGAAGAAATCAGGAAGAAGCGCTGGAAGTGGATAGGACACACATTGAGGAAAACACCCAACTGCGTCACAAGACAAGCCCTCATATGGAATCCTCAAGGTCGAAGGAGGAGAGGAAGACCAAAGAATACATTACGCCGGGAAATGGAGATAGATATGAGAAAAATGAACAAGAATTGGATGGAACTAGAAAAGAAGGCCCAGGACAGAGTGGGTTGGAGAATGCTGGTCGGCGGCCTATGCTCCATTGGGAGTAACAGGCGTAAGTAAGTAAGTAAGTAAGTAAGTGAACATATAAAGGTGTATGGATGAATCGATGTTTTCATAGATCAATATGTGAAATGATTAGTATCTGAACTATAAGCGGCAATGTTTTAACATCTGTTTAAATGGCTTGATAAGAAATTGATTTTTTGTGAAATATACGCTCGACAAAACTTGTAGATTATCAAACGGATTATGTGACAAATAAGGATTTTCAAAGGCTAAGATCGAGTCTGTTTTGAATATGTCTCCCAATTTGAATTCATCTGCACTCAAACAATATATATATATATATATATATATATATATATATATATATATATACAAGACTAGACCACGCAACAGACCAATTGAGTAACAGTACTAACACTGAACAACAGCAGTAATAATGAGAAAAACAGAGTACTGAGTACATAAATAATCAATTGTAGTTTATGAATAGAAAATGCTATAGCAACTATTTACAATTTAAATAAAGACTTAAAACTATGGGTAGCACGAAAACAATAAAACCAATAACAGGAAAGTTTGCCTAATACTTCCGGTATTGCCTTTATGGCTTGGCTTGGTTATTCCTTTCAAGTTATTATTACTATTGTTTTTGACTGACAACTTACCTTTTCCTCAGATAATTTTTCACTGCAATCGTCATTATCGATATCCTCCTCTTTCAGTGTTTCCGTCGACATTAGGCTTTATATAAATTCTGAAATTGGGAAATCGTGTAATTTTAAATCCATAGAAAAGCACTGTTTTGAAGACGATGAATAAACACGAAAAACGAGAAAATTGAGTAGTTACATTAAAAAATTTCACATAAATATATCAAATGTGACATTTTATGAGGCATTTAGCACAAAAGCTAGTAATCAGTGTACTATAAAAGTGATAGCTTGCATGCTTGATTTACTACTCTGATTTTATTAAACTCAATGACCAGATACAGACTATGCACCCTTTTTTTTAGCCATATGTTTATTTATTTAAGAGCTTGTGGTGTTATTATCAGACGTAAGGTGATTTAACGATCGAACTGCCGCTTTATTTATCTGGATGTCTCATTATCAACTTAGAGTGCGTAAAATATACAGTTCTGTCAGGGGAGGACAATTGTGAACTGAGACTAATCGGATACCCCTTACATATGCAGAGACTGGTCTTAATCGACACTTAGCCATGGAGTTGGTTACTAGTTGATTTGGCTTACATAAATTGAATTAGTGGTGTTATTGATGGGATTTCGTTGATTTAGTGTATGATATGTCTTTGAGACACACACTCAAGCTTCGAGTGTAGTAATTCACTCGATTTCACTCAACTGGCATGACTTACCCTTCATAGATCCCGAATTACAAACTCCCTTCGACTACATTTATATTTCAAACAGACGTGTTGTATACACAGACGTACCGGATCACATTAGACAATAATGCTGAAGGTACTATTTGTACGTAAACAGGCCAAGACTATCTGTGATTAGAAGAAAGTGTGAGTAATAAAATAGGAACAAATTGGGAATAGTAAGTTATATAGAGGCAGTTAGTGAGTTAAAAAAAGTCTTACAAATACATAAACACATAGAAATCTAGTTATTCAGTAATTACTGAACAAAGGTATGATTAAAATTGTTCAAAAAACTAGCCTTTAACTGATACAGTATTTGTTTCGTTATAATAATCACAAAAGAGCACATTTCTTTCAGTAAATCTAAGATATTTTTTGGCTATATGATGCCAAAACATATTTTGTGCAGCTTTAACTTCAGAAAAATTAATGGTAAATATTTCTTATCTCATCGAACTGTATTTTTTATAAATTTTAGTAAAGAAAAAACAACATTCAAAACCGAATAATACGAATCGGTTATATTTCATGGTTCTTCATCAACTGCTTACGACCGTATATATATATATATATATATATATATATATATATATATATATATATATATTGAAATGTAACATTATTATAAGATGTAACATGAAGCAATCGACAGTGGTGACGGAAAGAGTTTATATAAGATTTAGACCAATGAGGTAGTAAGCCTCTATAATTCATAATTGAGGCTTCCGTATTAATTATACAACATAAGAAGAGTCTACGTAAGTCTGAAGAATTGAGCGGATGAAAAAATCCGATGAATGGATAATAAGAATTAGTTTATCAAAGATTGTGTAACGAGATAAACACTTATAAATAACAATTTTAGGCGGTTTTATTCAAGTCTATGAATTTATCAAGGTAATCAAAAGTTTGTTGCTGTCTCTTTTTGACAACATTTATCAGGTTTGAATTTTTAATTGTTGTTGATTCGGCAGATCGTATAAACGCTGCATTGTTTTGTTCGCTGAAGGTTTTAAAGGATCGAAAAATATCAACATTGCGTCTAGTACTGATTAAATGCCGACCTACTGTTCCACTTGCAGCCGTTGTTTCTCTCGTTCTTAAATTCTTTGGGCTTACATGGACATACGGATAACTGCTCTTATATCCATCCTTCTAATGTATACGCTTTGGTATGCACACGTAAAGTGGTAAACTTAGTTGGAGGTTCTGAAATAAAAGAACCTATAGAATTTAGTTCCTGCGTTACATCATCAATTATAGATGACAAGGTGAAAGCTGAGTTTCTGTGGCCGATTAACTTAGCTTTCATCAATTATTTTTGGTCCGATAACCACTCTCTCAAAATATTCATACCAGATTGCGCCTTCACATCCAAGCTGTTAGCACAGAAAATAAAACCTTTAAGATGGATTTTATATATTGTCTACCTGTTGACAAGTTAAGAGGAATTACAATTAGTTTGGTGAATTATCGTCTAGCTACAAAATGACGAACAAGCAAATTCTAATAACAGTTATCTTCTGATTTAGACAACATAATGATTTTCTCAAGGAAGTTAGCCAAAGAGTAGAAGATAGCAGGAGGATATAAACAATGGTAAAAGAAATTGCTAAGTTTGATATTTATGAAACTAACAAAGTTCGTTACATTCTATGAAACCAATACTAAAATCTATGAAACTTAGTTATTACCCACTAAGTGTTATTAAATCTGAAACTGAAACGGACTACATAAAAGTATTGGTCATACATCTTAAATGACCATATTTCACTAATATTTATTCAGTATGTCGGTTAATATATCGGCTTAAAAACATACTGAAACACATTACGTATGAAAAATAAACTGTTTTCTTACCAAACCCCTTTAATAACTTACCTTCAAAAATGCTAAAGCACTTAATTCATAAATCTCATAAGAATATTAAGTTCTTTATGACAAAATAATGTGAATAAAACGATTCACGAGTCTGTGGACAATTGATGAAGTTAATGCATGTATCTAATAAAAAAACTTCAAAATTTTGAAAAGCCAGGCTGCATGATAAGGTCCTGGTATTTAATTTTGTTTAATGTTTTCCGTCTACAAAGTACCCTGATGAGCAGTTAAACATTCAAATATGTGCGATGCGTTGTCATAATAACCGTCATGTAATACTTGTTATTCATAACTAACTTGTATCTGAAAATTTTTATAGGGAGCTATTATGGATCGAATGATTATATTTTTTCGGTTTCTAATGTTTTGGCACTATTACAGGTCCTTAGTAGCTCTCATAGAAAGTATTCCAACCACTCGGTTGGAATTATCTTGGTGAACTCAACAAGTATTTGTTGATTGACACATCGTGACTCTAAGTAGACGAATCTCTGTGAGACAGTAGAGCCACTCAATCCATCGCAAATGGCGGTACAGGTCAGGATAATGGTTGGTTGAAAAGTGAAAAGTCTGAAATCAGAATGCAGTGGAGTAAAAATAAGGATGAAGAAAAAATCATCAATAAGTTGAACAAGAGAATAAATAAATTGAAGTTCATAGACAGAAGTGTTAGTGCGTGTGACAAGAGGAAAATGAGACAGGTTTTTTATAACAATTATTGTTAGTATTGTCATTATAATCATTACTCTCATAAGAATAGCAGTGGTAGTAGATCTATTGAGTAGCATCTACAGTAATAACGTTTTCACCAGTATTTACGGTATAATTAAATGAGAGTAATATGTCGAAAATCCGTGTTTCTATTAAAAGGATTACAAGAAACCTCAGAAAGAGCTAGATAATAAACCTCACCGTAATATGTGAAATAATGATCACTCGACATTAGCAAAGAAACCGAGTGCTCCAGTGCTCTAGTCACGCACTATTTGCTAAGGTTCTTTTCTTTTCTAAAAGGACCGACTGGTTTGTTGGGCGGGAATAAATAACTCATGAAGCACTTCGAAGAGGCGAGAATACCCTGACTCTCCGCGTTAAATGTTGAATATTTATTTCCCATATTGTTTCGTGTTAAGGTCCAACGCCACTACAATATCATGACGAATCTGCAATTTAAGGATTACGTCTTTCACAGCTACACTCGTGTTTAATTATTGTTAGATGTCTGTGAAATTCATGAAATTACAACTGTTGATTTGTGGCAAAAGGTTTTTATTGATGCCTCTGCTGTTTATGACTATTATTATAAACGTAAATTCGGGAAGGTCAAAGAAAATCTGAAATTCAGTTTTCAAAATCTGCAATCAAGCAGCCTAAGAGACTCAGCAATGGACTCCTAACCTAATTACGTAAGTGAGTGGATCTGGAATGATAGAGGAAAAAACAGAGGCTAGAATAAACTATTTGGGGCAATTTTCACTTTGGAACATCTTCTGGACAAAACCAGACCCAAATACAAAGTCAAAAACTCTTTGTTCACCGTGGACTTCGACTAAAACGATGTACTTCAGGCTCTTTGCATTTTAGCCACATAAAAGTAAGCAGAACCGGATGAACTGCATCCCAGCTCCCTTAGACGAATTGCACAATATGTTACAGCCACAATAACTGTGATATTCAATATGTCAATCGACCAAGGTGTGTTACATATGTACTAGAAGGATGCAATCGTTACTCCCTTACATAAAACAAGACCAAGACAAATTCCATCGAACTATAGACCCGTCAGCCTAACCAGTGTTGTGGAAACCTACAACTTGTTAAACGGCGTACAACGTGGTTTCAGAAAAGGTTTATCTTGCAAAATAAACCTCCTTATATCAATGGAGCAATGGATAAAGGCTCTAGCAATGGAATTTTAGTGGATGTTGTCTACATAGACTTCAGCAAACTATTTGAGAAGGTGCCATCAAATGAGCTGCTCTTGAAGCCGGAAAATATAGGTATTGGCGGACCTCCACCAAAATGGCTTACGGATTTTTTAGAGGGTCGTAGACAGAAAGCAATAGTGAATTCCAAATGTCGCACTTAGAGACCAGTACTTAGTGGAGTACCTCAAGAATTTGTTCTACGTCCTCCTCTTTCTACACTGTGTGTCAAAGAACTTCCAAGTATAATTGAGTCCCCAGTGTTAGTATATACTAGTATAAAACGCTGGCAAGAAATGACAGGAGACGTAGATGCATACGCACTTCTGGAAGACTTACTTGGTTTAAGGAGTGACTAATGCCTATCAACGCGGCGAAGTGTGTTTACATGCAGTTTGAGGATGCAAAGGTAAATATGTACAATATAGGAGAAGTGCTTATACCCGTGGTTCGGTCTCACAGGGATCTTGGAGTGACAGTGAGTCAAAATATTAAGACCACAGCCCATTGACGAGAGGCCGCAAATAAGGAGTTTAGAACCCTATGGGCTTTAAGAGGGATATTCACTAAATTAGATACTACCATGTTCATTGAAGTTTACATAACCTTCAAAGTTTTGTATACAGCCACTTGCCTTCCCCGATCCTCTTCGCTCTCCTCTTTCGTCATGGATTAAAAAAATATAGATGGTCAAAATCTACTGATTTAATCTAGTTATTGTCTAATGCGGATTATGTCGACAAATATATGCTGAGGTAGCTGGGATGTTTATTTCTATAACAAGCAGCCAACAATCCAACTGGAATCAAACACAGAGCTTCTAAGCAGTCAACTTGCTTGATTACACACACCAGACGACATGATTGTGCTGCAGCTATGTCGCTGCATCAAGAATCTAGAACAAAAAATAGTCTAATTATATAAATTCGTCTTGAGGATATTGGATATCGTACGAAGACAATATGAACCTTCCGCCGCACTCAGGTTTAAGGTCATCAATTGTGATTTTCTGACTCTGTTTGTACTGGTAAGGCTTTCCAGGGTTTATTTGTGACATGAAAAATCTTAATTCTGTCAAACAAGTTATTTTTGTTTTTTGGGTGGTTGTTTCTTGTCATCCTAACAGTGTAGTTGTGGTTGAGACATCCGAATCCCATCTTCTTACTCCTGGGTCTGATCTCGTCTTCACTTACTTCAGTTTAAGCATCTGAAAAGTGTCGTTGGCTGTCAAACTTGTTTTGAGGTTGGTGTCTAAATACCTGAAGACCGGGTTGGCCTGAATTCTGAATGAGACCATAATTTATGAACGACACTTAGGCGAAGCTAAAATGACATTGAAAATGTACACCTACTTACTTGTGCTAAATAAGGTTTACAAACCAGTGTGAGGTATTAAGGTTAGGATTCATGTTTAGAAGCTAGGGTTGGTAATTAGAGTTGAGGTCTTCGTCACGAACTGACATCAGCTACAACGCCAAAATGTACTTAGCCATATGAATAAATAAATTTCGTTCCTGAATCTAAGACCATTCATCTTAAATACGACTAGTTCGCCCGTGAGTTATGGCATCGCTCCTAACACAGTGTGACAGTTTGTGTCTGTAAACACGATGTAGACCTACAACCGATGACTTCACAAGGTAGTTCCACTTCCTGGTTTGGCCACTTATTTGTTCTTCAAACTAGTTTACGGAAACCAGCTCCTCCCGTATCAGGGATATGGTGATATTTGCCTTACTAATCAGTTAACGAGTGCCTGGTCTCATCAACTTACCTCTTATTTCTACTCTTCGCAAGAAAATATAAATTAATATTACGGCGAGACTCTCCTTAATTACTGATTGTTGAGAATCTAAAACTGGAAAATTTATTGCCATCTTCGCACAGTCCGAGTATAGAAATTCCGAATACTCGGGCTGGTTTCCATATTAACTATACTCTATACTGGTAGAATTATATTCATCCATACAATGATAATATTTCTTAGTAAGATACATCATTCATGAGCTTAAAATTTCGTTCGTTGTAAGTATCTATCACTACATATTTAAAGGAATTCCACAATAATCCAATTACTATCAAACCCAAAGTGAGGTGATGTGATAATTTATAGCATTTCAAAATAAAAATGTTTAATCTTGACTTTTCTTGTTTTTTATAGTCCCAAATGCTTTTTAGTGGGTGAGTGGAAGTGATACGTGGTTTCTCATCAGCTGCTTGCAACCAAATATGTATTAAAGTGTGAAACAATTGACATAGGTGAATGAATAAGGTTGGCCGCTGAGAATATGATCCCAGAAAATCGAATGTAAGGAAAGATTCAATAAATAAAGTTTGGTAATAAAATAAATGGATCTGGATCGTTTTGACTACTTCTGACCCATGTCTTCAATCTATTATAGCCGTTATCATGTGGGTTTCCATCAAGCACTTTACACCCACCAATATGGCTCAGAATTACAATCCATGATTTCATATACTAATGACATGTCTTGATTTGACAGCTTCCTTCCACACCAGACAACAGACGCACTTCAAAGCAGACGGTGGATTGACATACACGCGTGACTTATAATTAACCCTTTTTACCATAAAAATGTTCAGAGCTTACAAGATGTTTGTAAAGGGTGTGTTACTTTTCTACTAAATAATTTTGGTAGTTATTTATCTAACACTGAATGAGGATCACCTTTGGTTCGGTGATTAAATGACAACTCAAAATTGAGTTCCTAAGATTTGGAATATTTATGGTGTTTTATCCTGGTGTATAATAAGACTAGATATTGTGATAAGTTTATTAGTTGTCGACCTACAATTTAGTTAATAGAAAGATCTTACATATATGTGCAATATATGAAAACCATTCAACCGTTCTTGGTAATCATTTAATAATTAAATCAAATATGTTTTGGTCATTCATACCGTATTTTCATTTCCCCTCCATCAGGGAAGTCTGAATTGAGAATACGTAAATATTTTCAGCTATATTATTTCATATCGAAGGTATTCAAGATATAAAATTAGTCTAGAATATCTTAAACAGATTGTACTCGTGGCTCTGATAAGTAGTCGGCTTATTACTGATGCATTTGGTTGTAATTTACTTGAATGTAAATTCTTATATAGTTGATTTTGGAATATGTGACTGATGATAAAAATTCCCCAGAGTAGCATAATTAGTTCAGGGACATTTCGCGTAGATATTGTTGAGATCAACCTCAAAGAAACTCAATGATTATACTGTGAAAACCAGATTGATGTAGTTTGTGAAAGCTGCTTCTAATAAAATCGAAACCGTCGTTTGCAGAGGATATTCCGGGGCT